GATAGATAGATAGATGCATGGATGGATATCTATATGTAGGAACATTATGAGAGAGAATGGATGCTACATTGACCAAGAGGTGTGTAGAAATTATTTTACAGCAAATTCTCCAAAATTAGGTCAGCAAACACCAAAACATGGGCTTTAATGCTTTAAGTTGCAAAAAAAAAAAAAAATTGTTCAGAAAAGCAGCAACTTAAGGCTGATTTATACTTCGAAACTAGATTTTCTGAGTAGGTGTCACAGTGAACACAAAGACATCCCTGCCCCCCCGCAGACACTCTGCTGCACCTCTCCCAGATTGTAGGTGACTGCAGACAGTGCTGAAGACAGGAGGCCTCTGATTGGTCAAATCTACATCCGCCCTACTCATGCGTATTTCCTGTTTGGTACCTTACCGGCTTGTTTTGTTTGTATGACCAACCACTATTGCGGAAACAACTCATGAAGTTGGACCAGTTAGAAGAGTGAGGTGGATCCCTACTCTTTTTCACCCTCATGTCCCTCCGTTGTCGCACAAACTTGCTCCCACCTCCTCACCGCCTCTGCCATATCTAGACCCACAGCTAGTTCTTGACCATCCGTCTTGCATTATGGCATGGCATAACATAGACCACTCTTCAAAATTGGGCATAAATCAAAAAGGTCTGCGTGAAGCTCACTGCGGCACAGTGCTGCGTGAGGATAACCAGCCCTTTACACCGCATGACTGAAGTGTTCTAGAGCAGTAGGAGGTGATATGGAACAAGGCCCTTAGTTAAAGCATAAATCGGAAGCTAAGAGAGGGACATATGTCCATCCAACCAGTCTGACTGGCCTCACACACATCTTTATTACATTCTAAAAACAACCCAACCCAGCCAATCTGACTGTTACTGGCTGGATGTGCTCTCTTCATCCACTGACAAGGGAACTGGCTCGGGGCTCGTCTGCCTGGCTGTGTGTTTCCCAGACGGGGCCACCTGTGGAGCTAGTTTACAGTCGCCTTTTGAATCTCTGCTTCTTACTGTATGTCTGCTTCTGTCTCCTTGAACCTAAGTCGGCCCCGGCAGGTGGACGCTCACACTGAGTCTGGTTCTGCTGGTTCTTACTGTTAAAATGGAGTATTTCCTCTCCACTGTCGCTACAAGGATGCTTAGTGTGAGGGATTGCCTTGGAGTCAATGAGTTGATGCAATTAACTGGTTTCCCTTAGATAGAAAACTTTAAATCAATTTCACTGTATGATCTGG